TAGTAGAAGACATCACAAGACAGAACCATTTCATAGAAAAAGAAGATATTAAGATAAATTTTATTAAGTATATTGCACAAAACAAAATTTATATTATTTACGCAGAGGTCACAGGTAATTTATTTAAACAGATTTTTGAAGATTATAATGGAAAAAATCTATTAGGATTTCAAAATGTATCTGTATACAAAAATAATTAAGTGTCTCAGTGCACAAATTGTTTCCGATTTAATCATTCTGGAAAAAACTGCCAAAATCCTAAAGTCTGTGCTCAGTGTGGAGAAAACCATGACACTTCCTTTTGTAAGCAGCCACATCCGAAATGTTGCAACTGTTTGTATTCAAGACACCAGTATAAGAAATCTTACAGTACCGATCATCTTCCGACAGACAAAAATTGCCCAGTGTATGAATTCTTTCAACAAAGACATCTCTCACGAATTTTATTTTGATCATTATAGAATTATTTAGAATACTCAAAATCTTTTCTAAATTATGTACGATTCAAATACTCTTAATGGCTGGTAGTAAAATGCTTATCGGACACTTGAATGTACGTTCCGTCATGTCTAGTTTTGATGCTATTGTAAATTTAATAGCATTAGAAAATTTTGTGGAATCTATGTTAAATCAAATTTACATGCTGAAAAGATAGATATTCATACAAATTTTGGTGTTTGTTTCGAAAGCATTTTGGTTAAATTGGTTGCGGGTAAGTGTGAACTGTTAGTAGGTGTTTTATACCGACCACCCTCTAAAAACATACAACAATGTGCAGATTTATTAAATGGTTTCCTACCCAGCCTCTCGTTATATCATCATAACATCGTGATATTGGGAGATCTGAATATGAATTTTTTTAATAACAGTATATTCTCACTGAGTTTTGAGCTGATGGGGTTCACACAAATCGTAACGGAAGCCACCCGTGTCACAGATAGTACTGCAACATTAATCGATCCAATATTTTTAAAAAATCCTCAAATATGCAGCTATTCTTCCGTCATGGACACGAATGGTATTTCGGACCACAAACTCGTATTTTTTCATTTTGACATTCCATCTTATAAAAGAAAACAAAAATTTATCACAATCAGGGATTTTAAACATTTCAGTGAGGATGATTTTCTTATCGATCTTTCTACACCGGGCATAGATGAATTATTTCTTATATAGAAGGTAATTCACATTACAAGCGTTATCGTGGAAACCTATAATAAACATGCACCTTTTAAAACTGTAAGAGTTAGTAAGCCACCACCTTGGTTGTTATTGTTATTGTTATTATTTTGCGCACAAAGAAAAACATACAATGTAACACAGCTCTTGAACATTCAGTTAAATAACCAAATTTTTCAATTTTCTGATTCTGCAAAAATTCTTGGTGTTGTTTTTGATACAATATTAAGGTTTATTGAACATGTAAAAAGTCTATCTCAGAAACACACCTACGGCTGCGCACTCTTATAGCAAACAGGTATTTACTAAATTTTAAGTTGCGTAAAAAACTATGTGAAGCATTGGTCATATCTATACTAAATTATTGTAATATCGTATACTATACTTGTTTAGACAATTTCACTAAAAACGTTATTCAAGTTATTCAAAACATTTGTATACGATTTATTTTTGGTTTTTTCGTAAATTTGATCATGTATCAGCGAAATACCCCGTTCTAAACTGGTCAAAAATTGACATGGTCAAGTATCACTATTCAGTTTTTGCTCACAAATTGCTGCTCTCGCCTAAACCTTATTACTTGAAGGAAGAAATTTCATTTAATAATGATGTTCACTGTAGAATTCTCAGAGAAAATAATATTAGAATACCCCTGCATACGTCTACACTTTTTAAACGCAGTTTTTTTTACAATGTTGCTATTATTTATAATGACCTTCCTAAAGTATATAAAGAATTTTCCTTACCTGTCCTTCGACAAAAAGTTAAAACATTATTACTCAACCCTCCAAACATATAATTTACGTAATCATTCATTTCTTTTTTATTCCATCTTTAATTCAGGTTAATAATTTTTTGGTGCATTTGGGTTCGGAAAGTATGCCTTTTCCTCTTTTTTTAAATTTTACTTTCGATGTAATGAACCAAATCTGTTTGTGGATAGTGTACTCTTTTGAACATCTGCTAGAGACTATATGGTTAAGTGTAAGAGTAGCAGCATGCTAAACTTCACCATATAAGTCTGACATTTGGCTATACTACAACGTAATTGTGGATAAATAAAGACGTCTATTATTATTATTATTACCAGCCAATAATCACCATGAAGCAGCTGTGTTGATCCTCTGTTGTTCGGACGTGTGAAGGTAGTATTTATTTATCGTATGGCAATTCAGTCACATTAAAAATAAACAGAATTGAAAAAACATTATAACGAGCATTGAACAGTTATCAATATATTAATATAATCTATCGACTCTAGAGTTGCGAATTAAAAGGGCTCCTGTGGGACACTCCTGAATACTGCGAACAATGGTCTGGTTCTGTCGGCAGTCGCACAAAGGATTTGGTTCAGTTATTTATACTTTATTGCCCGACAAACAGTAATCCGGTTAGTGAGAAATACGTGTATAATAGTAATCTTTGTGTATACAACATAATGCAAACAAAAAAAATACGTCGAGTAAACAACTACTATTACTATCTGGAATTTAAAAAAATTGTACTAATAAAGTCGAAATGGATGTCATAACTGGCTGCTATAGAATAATAATTATTATACAGGGTGACTTCGAAGTTGAGTCATTTATTTTAACAGTGAGTAGATCTGATCAAAATAAATGTTTTTTTCCTTTAACATTTTTGTGGTAAAATTAAAGTAACAAAGTTATAGCCCTTTAGAAGTTTGAGTACCGCCCTGTCTCAATAATAATATTATGTGCTCGTGTTTGGCGACAACGGATATACTCCGCCTTATCGGTTCATCGCATCGGAAACAAAAAAGCGAAAGAATTTGAAACGCTGATCACGATGATTTTATTCAGTCTGTGTCAGTCGGTAACGCGTGAGTGAATAGTGGTGATTGCTGCGTGGCTCAAACGAAATAAAAAATGGCACATATTTATGCGGATCGATTTCCCAATCGAGTGCAACCAACCCCTCGTGCCTTTGTTAATGTAGTACAACGGGCTCGTGAATCAGGTGACTTAAGACCTCACAGAGGACTGCATGCCGGTGCTCCAAGACCTCACGATCAAATACAGGTCCACACTGAAATACTTGTCGGGAGGATACTTTATAAAACAAGGTAAAAAAAAAAAATTAATTTTTTTTTTATTTTTACACACATATTTTGGTTCATCTTCCTTCTACAATCACTATCTGAAAATTAATGACTCAACTTCAAAGTCACCCTGTATAAAGAATATAATGACGGATTCAATAATATTGTAACACTCTCGCAACTAGAACTTCATGAGATACCCTCGTACATCGGTGCTTAGGGCCGTATCGTTTGTCGTTCCTACAATTATTGTAGGTCGCCTTTATGGGCTCCTTGATTTTCATAGTTTTCTACTGTTCCGCATCACCGCTCTATTTTGGGGTTAGGTCACAAACATCTATTCGTATAAAATTGTGCATACTTTTAATTTATTTTCAGTAAAATTCGTTGTCAGTCCGGTCTGTATCATTAAGTACTATTTGTTTAATTTTACTTAGGGTTTCGGGTTTGAGGTATTTTAAATTTTCAACGATTTCATCTACTTGTTCTCTAGTGTTATTTCTGTAAAGGGTACTAGTAGGGGTCTTAGGTGTGTTGAATGGAGCTTCTGTGTTTGAAGCGTTATTGTGCACTTGCGCTTTTACTGTTATTGGTCCCTTACTGTTTTGTTGTCTACCGTTTCTGTTTATTAGGTTCTCATTGTGACTTTCTCTATTGTATCCGGTGTTATGTTCAACTATTCTTTTTTTTTTGGTGTTTGTGATAGTGCTTGTTGAAAGATCCTTTTTGTTTTTATTGTATTCGCAAATTCAAATGTTCTTCTCTGTGCTATATTTATTTGACTTGTTCCGGAGGTAGGAGCTGTATTCTGGTTTCTGATTGTTGGGAAGTTTCTATTATTGTAAGCTATGTCGGTTGTGTTTATCATATTACTATGCGATTTATACGTTTTAGGACACAGCTCGTTTGCCTCAAAGTGTGAAATATTTTCAAATACCATAAGTTGTTTTATCTTTTCCTGCCTCTTGTACTCTGGGCAGTCTTTCGAATTGGATCTGTGTTCCAGACTATCGCAATGATAATATTTTCTTTGACAGTGAAAGTCCTCCCCCTCTTCGTTATGTTCAGGATTACCGCAATTAAAGCATCTTCTTTTTCCCTTACACTGGGTCTTAGTGTGACCATAAGTGAGACAAGAGTAACATTGAGTGACAGGGGGTATATATGTAAATACGGGAAAGAGAAGATAGTAAATAGAAATATCTCTGGGGCGTACTGTGCCTTGAAATGTTATTAGTATGATACCAGTGGGCGTGTATTTTATAATGCCATCTACTATGGTTTTTCTATTGAGCCTTTTTGCATCTAACACTTTCATTGGAGATTCGATAGCGCTAATAATCTCTTCAATTGTGAAGCTTGTATCTACTTGTCTTATGATTCCCTTGCATGTTACTTTGTTGAATGGTATATATATATATATATATATATATATATATATATAACTTGAGACGTGCTCATTGTCGTCTAGACCAGTTAGGTGAAAAATTAAAGCTTCCGCCTTTTGTTGGGTACTTCGACAAAAATTTAAACAAGGATGACTGTTTATACTTTTTTTATTCTCTCTAGCTTTCAATGGACTTTGCCATCATCATTAGGAGCTGAAATTACATTGATAACAGTAGCAACAATAGTGTAAAATGAATTTAAATTAACTTACAGTAGTATGTGAGGATGTTGCTAATTGTTGTTTACGTTCAGGATGAGGGAAACACCCAGTAACATGGTGAAAGTTGGATAACTGGTACAATGGTCGAAATTATATAAAATACTGCTGTATGACAAGTCGAGTGGTATGTTTGTTGTAATGTGCCAATCTGGATGCTTCCGCAGCGATACGTTCAAAAATATCGTTGACGAAGCTGTTCATGATGCTCATCGCTTTGCTGGATATACCCGTATCGGGATGTACCTGCTTCAGTACTTTGTAGGTGTAAATTGCGTAACTTTCCTTCCTCCTGCACTTCTTTTTCTTGTCAGATTTTGAGATATTCTTCTGCGCCTTGCCCGCTTTTTTGGCAGCCTTACCGCTAGTTTTGGGTGGCATTTTAATGTGAGATTATGCTCAGTAGGATCGACACCAACGCCCACCATTTTGTGCAATCATCAAGTGGCTTCACGATGTAATGCTTTCATGTTCTAAAAATTTTTAATCTGTTTTTAACTTGTTCTTGTCATACAGCTGTGTGTATTTTATATAATTTTGATCATTGTACCATTTATCCAAATTTCACCATGTTACTGGGTGTTTCCCTCATCCTGAACGTAAACAACAATTAGCAACATCCTCACATACTACTGTAAGTTAATTTAAATTCATTTTACACTATGGTTGCTGCTGTTATCAATGTAATTGCAGTTCCTGATGATGCTGGCAAAGTCCGTTGAAAGCTAGAGAGAATAAAAAAAGTATAAAGAGTCCTCCTTGCTTAAATTTTTGTCGAAGTACCCAACAAAAGACGGAAGTTTTAATTTTTCACCTATATACTTCGAAAAAAAAAAGAATTTCTTGGCGTAGTCAAATTTTCAATTCGACATTTCTTCTTTCGACTTCCATCATCAGCTTTGCTTTTTCATAATTTTATTGATGATAATAACAATAATAACATAACTAAGCAGATTTCTCTATAGTCTTCCAAACTCTGCTATGCGAACAAATAAAATCTGATAATTTCAAGGCCTACCTAGGAGCTTCTGGAATAACTAAGGTTTTGCAATGTCAATGTATGACATACATTTTTGAAATTAGAATGTGTGTAAACATCGAATAGAGAGAAAAAAATAAGTTGGTGCTGGAGGACAAGATACGAAACGTCATATTGACATTCTAATTGATGTGCAACTTATTTTGAAATCCTATCGCAAATAAAGTCAGGAGAAGAAGAATTTTGGGAAATTTCGTTTTTTGCGTTCAATTTCAAAACTTTCTGAGCGACATTTTGCTGATTATCTGAATACGCAACTTTGCCCCTATTTAAGCGACTCCGTATTCCTTAAAGTTTCCGAGATCCCAATCGTGAGGGTCGAATTTGAAATACCCCGTATAGGGAAAATATTATTTTTACCTCAGCAGGGGTACCCGTGAAAAAAGCTGTAGTATCACAATATCTCCAGATTTCGTTATTTCTTTTTCATCAGCTTTGGGTTGGCATTCATATCTAGAATATACAAATACTGTTTGTGCATACACTTCGAGGCTGGGCGACAAGGGAACAGGGAACTATCCGAGTTTTATTAAAAGTTATTCACAATACTGTGTATATTTCTCATGCATCACTGCAGACGTTTATTCAGAATTCTTATCATTTACTTCTTCAACTTGTAATATCGCTGGCGGAAAGTGCTACTGAAGAACTGCGGAGTACTCGTACACAGCAATGGTTCCTGGATAATGGGCTGCTGCTCAATGCAAGCAAGACGGAGTTTATAAAGTTCTCATATACAAACCATAACCTCGATTGCAGCTTGCTGCTCAAGTCTCTCAGTGGTTCCATTCAGCAGGTTGGCTTTGTCAAATTTTTGTGAATCCATAAAGTGGAATGCTCACATTGATTATGCATGCAAAAAGATCGCTCCATTCCTGTACTGCATCAGTTAGCTACGCTTTGTGGTCGATAGATCTTTGCTATTGACCTACTATTTTGCATATATCCACTCCACAATTTCATACGGTATCATAGCATGGGCTGGTTCCACAGAAGCAATTCGAGTATTCACTATAATAATAATAATAATAATAATAATAATAATAATAATAATATAATAATAATAATAATAAATAGGTCTGGCCGGTTAGGACACTGTTGCCAGCAGTGTCAAACCCGCTACCGTAGCAACAACAAGGATAGACGGTACAGCCAGCGATCCTCCAGTGTGTGCCAGGGGTTTTTGTGTCTCTTCCTCCTGGTGCAGGAAAACATATCATGTGCAGAATGTGTACATATCGGCTCCTAGATGGAGTCGTATAAAAAGAGCCACACCCATAATTTCTTTATGGAGATGAATTTTGAATATAGCCTCGGAAAAAGGTCGCTGCCTGAGGGTGATCGTCAGGGCATATCTGGAGCCGGCGCTGGATATGACAGCATGCGGGACGTCGGTGGCAGGGTGCTGAGGAGGCGGGCCCCTGTCGTCCAAGAAGCAACAGCCCCCCAACAAAGTGGTAGCCAAACAACAACTAGTGCCACCGCTGCCGAAAGTGCTGCACAGGAATCTCAGCCAGTGCTCACTCAAGCAGGTCTCCCTAGAAGACGTATAAAGTGGACGGTGTCCATGAATGAGTCAATCATGCGAATCTTCTACAAAGTTACCAACCTAGGTAGAGAAACAATCGGCTACAGACCACGACTTCATACCGCTTTCTGTAGTGAATATCCGGAGATCAAAGTATCTCAGCAGAGAGTGGCAGACCAATATCGAGTGATAATCAAAAATAATCTTATCCCACAACCACGGCTGAATGCCATCAAACAGGAAGTGCAGCTTGATCTTATGCAACAAGAAGGGAGTAATAACGAAATACGCGATAATGGTCAATCTGAGCAAGAACAGATAGAAAGTGAACAGCCTGGAGTTGACGACAGTAATGATCAAGACACAGAAATATTTGGTATATTAATAACTGAAATGGGTAGAGCATATGCCGAATTTGATGGAACGAACCCGCTAGAAAGACCACCATTACCAAAGTTGAAGTCATCTAGAAAGCTTGCTGTGGTATTGTGTCAGTTAAATAAACAGATCCTGCCAGAGTATCTAGCACACTCCAACTGTATAGAACAACTTCACACACTGATATACTGTGCAGCTGTTGCAACAGTAAGAACACTTGGTGTCAAAATGCCAACTCAAAAGATTACTGAAAATTCAGTAAAACCAATAACACCAAAATGGGAAAAACGTCTGGAAAGAAGAACGGCAGAAATTCGCAGAGATATCGGACGTCTTACCCAATTCACACGAGGAATAACAACTCGAAAAGTCCGAAAGCAAGCTATGGAAATAATGCAACGACTCCACCATCATTCTCACCAAGACGCAACTAACATCAACGAGTGGCAATGCCTTGATACCTTGAAGCAAAAACTGTCCGTATATACTCAGCGATTGAAAAGGTATAAAGCGTCCAGTCACAGAAAGCACGACAATGCGCTCTTTCAACGATCCGAAAAGGCATTCTACAGGAAACTGTCATCCGAACCCCAGGAAAAGAGCAAAACGGTGCCCACAAAGGACCAAGTAGAGGAATTTTGGGGCAAGCAGTTTGGCTCGACAGCTTATTACAACAAGTGTGCAGGATGGATTACAGATGAAGAAGCGAAGAGCCATTATTGCAATCCCATGCAGTATAGGGCATATACCAAACAAGAAATCGTGGATATCGTTAAGCAGTTGCATAATTGGAAGGCCCCGGGCCCAGACCAGATTCATGGCTACTGGATAAAGAAGCTTTGGTGCATGCATGAACAACTAACAAGATATATCAATGACATGCTTTTGAATCCAAATAAGACTCCAACGTTCCTAACACAAGGGCTAACGGTATTAATACCAAAAGATCACAATAATACAGAAGACCCAGCAAAATACCGCCCAATTACCTGCCTTCCTACGCTCATAATAACTTATTAATAATAAAAATATAATAGTACTAATAATAATACTAATAATAATCATAATAATAATAATAATAATAAAAAGGCTGTGCTAAGGGAGCTATGGGATGCAAAGAACAGCTGGCTATCGATTCAGTCATCTGTAACCAAGCCTATACAACAAAAGGAACCTATACATTACGTACATCGACTATCAGAAGGCATACGATTCTGTACCTCATGAGTGGCTGTCAGGGTGCTGAGGCTCTATAAGGTAGATGAGCATGTAGTGGCCCTCTTAGAACATATGCTGAAGACCTGGAGAACCAGAATAAACACTGCATACAAACGGGACCAGCACCATTCAAACTGAGACGATCTCTATCCGAAGAGGTCTCTTTCATTAAGTCCCCTATGGTTTTGCCTAGCTATAAATCCCCTCTCAAACCTCTTAAATGCAACAGGGTATGGATATAGTCTGAAAGATAACAGGAACGCATCCATAAAACTGAACCACTTGCTGTATATGGACGACCTAAAGGTAATAGCTGCTACTGAGAATCAAATGAAAACAGCTGCTAGAGATAGTCGGTCAGTTCTCAGATGACATAAGTATGCGATTGGGATGGATAAATGCAAAACCTTATCTATACGTAGGGGGAACATCTACCCTGGAGGATTTTTCAAGCTGCAGAGGCCAAAACATTGACGCAATGGACGCAAATGACACATACAAGTACCTTGGAATGGCGCAGGCCGAAGGATAGACCATAAAAAAATGAAGGAAGCTATATCGCAGACCTTCACAAAAAGAATACGGCTACTTCTGAAAACAGAACTCAATAGTAAGAATCTAGTCAAGGCGATTAACACCTACGCATGCTCTGCCTTGAACTACTCGTTCGGTATAGTTCTGTGGAGTAAAACTGACATCGAGAAACTAGAGAGGCGGGTAAGGACTATGCTAACAAAAAAAGGAGCGCACCATCCTCGCAGTGCAATAGAGCGCACAACCTTACCCCGACAGTTAGGAGGAAGAGGTCTAATGGACATCAGCAAGCAGCTAGCTCAACAGGTACTCGCCTTGCGATCCTACTTCTTTGAGAAGGCCGAGATCTCTGAGCTGCATCGCATCATATGCTCAATAGATGACACAACGCCCTTACACCTTAGTAGACGAGATGACCAACCGAGTCACCAAACCAACGAACAGAAGCTACAACGATGGATTGAAAAAACCTCTACATGGGAGACATGCCAACGAGATTAGCCAAGAAAACGTTGACAAGAAAGCGTCAAACTATGGCTTACCTCAGGCCAAATGTTCCCTGAGACTGAGGGATTCCTTGTAGCTATACAGGACCAGGTCATTCCTACCAACAATTACAAGAGGTTCATACTTAAGAACTTGCAACAGTCTGATAAATGCAGGTACGGCTGTCAGGACTCCGAA